TCTCTCTCTCTCTCTCTCTCTCTTTGCAATGCTAGGGAATCAAACACAGGGCCTCATGTATAACAGGCAAGTGCTCTTCTACTGAGCTACATTCCCAGCCCTTAAATTGAACATTTTAAGGAAAATCAAGGGAAAATACACTTTGGCTCAGAGTTAGGGCTTAGTAACAGGCCTGAGGTTTAAATGCTGGCTCACATACTCTGAGTCTGTGAACCTGGGCAAGTTATTCAAGCTCTATAGATTTCATTTCTTGAATTCATAAAACGATGAGGATAAAAGTGCCTATTACTATCTCATAGAATTGTTATGGGGATGTTGTTATATAATGAATATAAGTGCAGATAATATGATATTTTAAGTAATAAATATTAATCATTCTTAATATGTAATTGCATAATCAGATGAAGGCCGGGCAGGTAGTAATCTAAACTCAAACTTCATTTTACAGCATGATTTCTTATTGTATCTATGTCTTTTACAATATGTTGGAACTCAGTAAAGCTGTTTTCTAAAGATGTTTGTGAGAAAGGTAAAGGTTTTCTTAGGTTGCCTCCTCTTCTTCTTGAAGTGCTCATCACATATCCTGCCTTAATATTAACAGTGTCCTCAGCTTTTCTCACTCAGTGTCACCTAAACATGTCATTTACTTATCACACTTCTTTTTGTTCATTTATCCTAAAAATAAGAACAATAGTAAGCCAGAAACAGCCATTTTGTTAAAAAAAAATGCATAGCTAGACAGATCTGTGATCCTTATTAGGGTTATAATCCATCTGTTATGGAACTGGATCAATTTGTAAATTAAATTGATTAATCTAAAAGGGGGGAAAAAGGTCTTAACTTTTCCCACAGTAAGCATTTTCTCAAATGGATTTTCCTAAAAAGATTTGGAAAAATTCAATTATCTGTTTTGCTTCCTCCCTTTGCTAAACCCAGAAAGAAGGCCAAGTATCTATTAAAAAGAGAAGTGGGTTGCATTTATCCTTTAGGATTCTATAGGGCCTGATTGCTCTTGGAAGTTCTATATTTTCTACATGGTGTAATGTTAAAACCTTTTGATTACTACCAGAGCATTTCTACTACTCACAGATTAGTATATACATTACCATGTTTGAATTATTTTCTGCACTTAGTTCACTTTACTGTTATTTTCATCTTGTCTGATCACAGAAATTCTCTTGATGATTCTCCTAACAATGTGTGATTGGAATAATAACTTCACATGTTGAAGAGTTTTGTGCTGCAGCTGAGAGGCATGTAAATACAAGCTGCTTATTTGCAAGAAGCTTCCAGATTTGCAATATGATTGCTATGGAAACCACATAATGAAAACCTTATAACCATCTGTGTGGTTTGATGGATTTTACTGCATAGCTGAGCTGTTTTTGTTTACTGTTATTAAAATGTTGAATGGAATATATTAACCCATGAACATTGACTATTTGAGGTATTAATTAGTATTATATAATGACATCGTGTCTCCACACCAAAATAAAATGTGCTTAACAATAAACCTAAATGAAACAACATGTGAGAGTATATATTTCTAACACATTGTGAAGGTGATTATTGCCTAGAATTCTGGTCACTTGTTCGTACATATTTTTTTAGTGGCTTGAGGAGCTTTGCTCTGCTGATAAATGAATATGTTAGGATTTATTTTCATGACTTTTGAATTTATTGGTTCACTCAGTATTTAGTGAACATCTCCTTTGTGCCAGGTTCTCGTTGAGATTCAATACGAGTTTTCCCCCCAAGATTTAAAAATACACACCAAATTTGATTTTATTGTATTTTATCTGGAAGCTGCTTATATTGTTAGCCCAAGATAAAATGAGTTGTTTGAATATTATTAAGAAAAAATGATGTATGAAATGCAGAATACTTTTGCTGAAAAGGTATAATTACTAGGTTTGACATGGAAAAAGGAAATGTTTTTAGTCTGCACCTTATGCTCTAAAATGCTGCTTATTAAAGAACATCTCAAATGAACTTCAGCTTGGATATTTTACAATGAATATTGATGCTTAAGTAAATATTATTAATATCATGCTGATAATTTAGGAATATATTTCTTAGGGACAGAGCTCTCTGACACCAATAATACAATCTTTAGCATACATTATAATTTCTTAAATTTAAAAAAAATTATATTTGATGGAGCTTTATTTTATTCACTTACTTATATGCAGTACTGAGAATCAAACCCAGTGCCTCACACATACTAGGCAAGCGCCCTACCCCTGAGCCACAACACCAGCCCTAATTGCTTAAATTTTAGTAAAAATAAATTTGTAATGATATTTTAAACAAATTCATTGCTAACTTTTTCAAGCAACAGAGCTTTCTTCTTTAATTGTTATAATTAATTTTTCTGATACTTGGAGCTGACTTTCTGATATTTGGAGAATATTGTTTACTATATTGTTGCAGTTATAGCTTTTGTCTAAGGGCAAATGTCCTTACCTCTTTTTATGTTTATTCTTATTATTGGATTTGTGACCAGATTGGAAAGGGAGTGAGTGCTAGGGACAAAGAAAGTGTAAAAAGTAAGTAGAACTTTCTACTTCACCTTTTAAAAAATAAACTATCTGTAAAGTGAGTAGGTTGGACCGACTGTAAATGTCCCTTCTACTTTTAAAGTTTATGTGAAAGTAGCCTATTAAACCATTTGTGACAACTAGTGTTTGAGATTTGGCATAAGTGAGGTAACTGTTCTTAAAGAGAAAAATACCATATTAAATTGCCACCGTTAGGTTCAACAATATGGGTAAAGCACCAAATATTTCCATCTGTTTCTTGTATTGGAGCTTTTATTATTTTGTTTGCATTGAATTACATAAACTCAAAACAGTTTTATTTGTCTTGTAAGCACAGTAACTCTCAAGCTTGATTTAAATGTGATTTTGATTCATCACCACTTAAACTCTCCAGGAGACGCCTAAGTATACATCTGCAGTCCTGACTTCTCTACCACACGTTACAGTTGCCCTTGGACATTCCCTGTGGGAAGCCCACCAGCACGTTAAATCACAACAAACTGCTGTGTTCCCCCACCACAGCAGATTGTCTTGGCTCTTCTCTTTTTAGGAATGACATGCCCCGAAACTCAGTCAGCTTAGCTCAGAGCCCAAGTCATCCACAGTTGTTCTATTTTCTGCCTCTCCTCCACACTCAGGCAGGAAGGCACAAAGCTTATCGATTCTGGTTCCTCTACCTCTCAAAACCATCTCCTTCTGATGTTTTTTCTCTTCTGCCTCTGTAGTTCAGGACTTCCTTCCCCTTTATCTAGATGCTCCCCCCGCCCCGCCCCGTCCCCGCTCCTCCAGGCTGACACAATGAGCTCAAATGATCATTTCTGAAGCAGAGTTTCAGTCCTGGCCCGTGTCTGCTCCAGAACCTTCTAGGGTTCTCACTACCCACCAAATCGTAGTCCAAAGTCTTTTAACTAGGTATTCAGGGACCCTAAATAACTAGTCCAAACCAGTAGCATCTCCTCCCATTGTGTGCTTTCCTTCATTCCCACATTATTTAGTCACTGAATGTGACTGTGCCTTGTTCTTTTAAGTTCATGGCTTTCTCTGGGTGTGCAAATAGCCTTCTTTTCGTCTCTCCTTATTTAAATTCTCTCTACCCCACAGGCCTTCTTGGCATTCCCCAGTTTGGAGGTTTCTCCTCTGCACCTCTTCAGTGCTGGTGTGTACTATTTGTCAGGTTTAGGTTCCTTTAGCCCACTTTCATTTATATCCTGTCTTCTGTCCCCTTGACGTGGTCAGCTTCCTGAGGGCGGGAGTTTATTACCCTTGTCTCCTCAGCAAATGCCCCTCTTTACTGCTAGTTAATACTCAGTGAAAATTGAACAATTGATCTCTATAAACTCATTTCTATAAACTGATTGGCAGTTTATAGAAATTTGGTTTATTTAATAGTCATGCTAACTATATTATGTATATTGCATATTTTTCCTTAAAGTTTTGGATTTTTCTTGAAATTATGATTTTTTATGAATACAGTTTTTCTCTGGCATGCCATTTATTCCTAGGTCCTGTCCTAAGTATTTCTAAGTTATGTGTAAATCCTTAGATGGGGAAAGTGGTAATGTAATAGATATATTTTTAATATAAAAGAATTGACTATTTTGAATATGTTTGAAGTAATGCTTTGGTTCTGAATAGTTCGATTCTGTTGTTTAGTGTTAGATTATTGATAGAGAAAAGGAAGGAAGGAAGGAATGTGATGGACAATGTGGAAAGAGTATAGACTACAGCACTGATTATAGGTAGGATATAGAACATGGACTTTAGAATCCCGACCTTAAGTTTGAATAACAAACTTTAGAAGTTACATCACTGTTTGAATCTCAATTTACTCATCTGTAGAAGGAGGATTTAAAAACTATTTATCTACAAAATCTTATCTCCCATAGTATATAACACATGGTAGGTGCTCGATATAATTTGGGGAGAATTAGTTGGAAAGATGAGGACCCTTCTGGTATCATCCTGTGTAGATTAAGCCAGAAAACATATGAAAGTGTCTGCTACTCAATAGATGCCTTACAGGCTACATGTATTGTATATCATGCATTTTTTCCTTGCTATATTGATATTTTAGGAACGATGATTTTATCAGTAATATTTCTGTCACACAATATAATGTAGCTTGTCAGTATAATGCTGAATGTTATTTTATTGGATTTAAGATGGCTCCAGATGAATTTCTATTAGTATTTAAAACAAAATGTGCAGTGTATTAGTATATATCTTAAATTTTGTCAAGCCAATGTGGGAAACCTCAGTAAATCTGCTATTGAGAAATAGCTGGCAGTTTATTTATTCCTTGTTAGATTATCGACAGAGGAATATGAATCTTGAGTGGTTTCATTTCTTTTAACAATAATAGTTACCTGTTATGAACTTTCGTTTTGCCCTAACAGTGGGGTAAGTTCTGTGTGGTTATCCCAGAGGAACCCCTTCAGTGTGCTGTTGATTTTTTTACAGAGGAGGAAGAGGACAACGCTTCTGTGAAAATGGAAGAACAAAGGAAGATGAGTCAGGAAAGTGTGCATCACACCTCAGGTAATGATTGTGCAGCTTCCTGGCAAAGCTTTTTTTTTAATTTTTTTTTTTATTTTTTAAGCCACTTTCTCACTACTCTAAAGACATTTACACAGCTCCCAGAAGTTGGCTTGTTTGGTCTGGATATCTTACCGCTGATAAGCTGCTTAGTCCCATTTAGGATGCATGAAAACCACTTGAGAAGGATTTATAAAGTAAGCCAATTTATACAAGGTATTCCTTCCTGAATTACTTTGTAATGACTCAATTAGCTTTCATTTCTGCACAAAGGAGATTTAGTTGCATAAATTAGCTTATCATCATTGAGGAAGTGTCACTGCTAAAGGACAGTTTATAGATACAACATGCAGTTGCTGTCAAACCTATAAGAATGTAATATAGACATCTGTGTATACTTTGTGCTTGAGCAGAACAGACTTCTGCCATTCAGAGACTAACAGGGGACAACAAGTTGCCCAGGGGACTGGCAATGTAGACATCTCTGAAAAGGTCAACTTGACACAGGCTCTGACAATCGACCCACAGCTCTGTCTTCTTTGATAAAAATCAGATAAACTTAAGACCGCTAATTGATCTGCAGCCTGTTTAAATGTTGGCCATGCATATCTTCATTGCATATGATTAGCACAGAAAGCAAATGAATTGGGTAAGAAATGCCAGAGTCCAGTGACAGCAGCTTAAAAATTGGAAAAGGACACTGTTGGCCTGGAAGACTAGGAAGGATGTTCCCCTTATCCATTTCCACTTGGCACATGGCCCCAGGTACTAATTATGACTGAGGCTAGAAAAATAACTGCACACGCTGTATACGGAATCACATGATACGAACCACTTTTCTTGCTTGTTGTTATTTCCAAATAGCAAGAGATAAACCATATCTGTAGTGCAAGCATGAGGTTAGTTTTGATAAACCAGCAATTATTTTACATGGAAAGAAGAGAAGAACTGCCTTCTTATCAGGACTTTACACCTCTTCATAGCCACATGTCAGCTGGGGCAAGGTCTGCCCTATCATCCCTCGGTCCTGCAAAGAGCTGGAGCTGGGGTCACCTTCCCCTCTCTGATATGTCCATACATCACTCTTTCAAGCTGTCAGAGGAGGGTGGACAAGAAGTGTATGTTCAGGAAGTAGCTTTCCAGAGGCCTTCCTACTGTGACATGTGGAAAGGAAACAGAGGCCTGATTCCGGACCTGGACAGGAAGGCAGGAGCAGGTTGCTGCAAAAGCTTTTGGTTTGCTTTTTTCAGAAAGGAAGCAAGGACATAGTCATTAGATGTGAACACTCCCGTCCTGTAAAATACAGCTATAAAACACAGAGGCTTAGTGAAACCTTGAGGACTATGTTCAATAGTAACTTAAGTATATATGTTTTGGGTTATGGATCGTGAGGCTTCTGCCAAAAGCATGTAGTTTTCTTTCTTTTAAATATCAATACAGGAATAGAAGGTGGACACATATAGATAGATACCCTTTACACAGATACAAATATTTTGGCTTAAAGCAATTGGATTTCTCAAAAATGCCATTTTCAAGAAATTAAAAAGAAACACCCTTTAAAAATAACCATCTCCCCATTTTTTGCCTTCAAAGGTAGAAAAAAAATTACATTTTGCTCAAAGGAATGCAATAAGTAGAACTAGCTTTACATGCCATAGCTATAAAGTACTGCAATAATTCTTATCTTTAGTGACATGAAATTCTTTTCAAGCAACAGTTTTAATGCTTTTGCATAGCAGTGACCTTTGCTCATCCCTAGTCTGTCAAAGACTAGAAGCTTGTTTGCCATGCAGAGCAGTGAGTTGACAAGGGTATTACTATCTTGCTGAGCATCACATGACATGAACTTCTAACCTTACTCAAGAATGTTATATATTTTTCACATTGACTGATTTTCTTGGGAAAAAAAAAAGACTGGTCTAATGTAAAATATATAAGTAAACACAAAGATGATCTTATATTTTTTCAAGTTCCTTCGTGTTCAGGTTTATATACACAACACACACACACACACACACACACAAAATCCCATTTGCTTCTTTTTTTAAAAAACGCTGTAAATTATTTCTAAAATAGTTTTCAAACCTATAACAACCAGGGAGAGATTCTTCATTATCTTATTATGCTATTTTTCATCCATTGTCATCATGTTTTTAAAATCTTGTCATCTGTGCAGAAGTATCTCCAATGTTTACATGTTTAGTTTATACAAACAATTCATAACAGTTCTGTTATCTTTGCCCAATGGTCTGTTTATGTATGTTTTTAAAAGCAGAAGCAAGTACATTGTTTAAATCCTTCACAAGCTGGCTAATTTATTTTTTGTTTCTTACTTTCTCTTTTAATCATCCATGCCTCTCAGGATAAGAAACATAATAAGGTGATTTTTTTTTCCTTTGTAATTTTGACAATATAGATCATGATGTGAGTAGCATAAAAAAAATTAATCCATGTAGTAAAAACAACTGAACAGAATTAACTTGTATTTTAGAATGTATGTTTATCACATTATGTTCTATTCTATAAAAATACATCTTACATGGGATTTTTCATTGTGAGGGTGAACGATGTTAACTTTTGTGAAGTACTGTGCTTTTTGTACTACATTTATACTTAATTTTTGTCCATGGATATTTAAGCACAATCAAAAATTTAAAAAGTAAACTAGAGGAGGTTGCTGTTTTCCAAAACCGGATAATTTATAATTTTTATGTCCATATTTCATATCAAGAATTTGAACATTATTTTCCTGAGGAGAAAGAGACTAAAAAACATATACTCGCTTAGCTGTGATATTTCTACTTTATAATTCGTATTGCATGCTGAAGCAGATAGGATAGTAAATCGTATGTATGTGTGACATAAACAGATTATTCTTTAGCAGAGCTCACATATGGGACACAGAAATGAGGTTGGTCTTTGGGTAACATCATCATCAAGATTATAGAAAGCACAGTTGAAAATGCATCTTTTCCCTAGTATTGCCAAATCGCTGGCTCCATCGCCTCTTTACAGCAGTGAGGTTTAATGAAATGCTCATGATGCACATCTAGGGAGAGATGCATCTTGCACACGGTGGGGGTCTCTCTTCCCCTTGCCTGCTCCTGTAACTCCCATTAGTGTTAATGGGAGTTTCGCCAAGTGCATCGAGGGGAAGAGAGACCCCAAAGTGATAAGGATTATGTGTTAGAAATCACCATACACTTTTCTTTTCTTTCTTTCTTCCCCACCCCCTCTTGAAAATCTGTTAAATGAAGAAACTATCATGAGCGAATCCGAAAAAGGGAAGAGCAGTCTGGACAGCTGGGGGACCCATTGGGACGTCACAGCTAAGCCAAAAACCTCTCCTCTAGCTTTTAGCCAAAGTTTTGTTTCTTCCACCTTTTTGGACCAAGCCTAAGACTGAGCAGCCTGGGGAACACACTGGAGCCTTGAGTGGGGAAACCAGTTATTTAGATCCTTTTACCTCCCAGCCAGTTGCTGTGGGGGAGGGCCTTGCATGTGAAATGATGTCATTCCCCTCTTTGCTCTAATTCCTTGACTTTTCAACTGACACTGACGGACTGCAAAGGGCGCAACATTTGACCCATTTAGCAGTTGATTTAATCTGACTAGAATGTTTCAACTTCTAAATCTCTATTTGTCTAAATAAGTGGTTTTTAAAGGAAATCAGTCACTTTATTATTAAGTGATTTTTTTTTTCTTAAAAAGAAAGAAATGAACAATGTTTGGAGAGATCTGGCCAGTCGGAGTGCCCTCTAGTGTCCATTGGTAGAATTTACTTAATATATGCTTTGGGGGGGAAATGTAATGAAGGGTGGCCACAAGCATTGTTAGTTCTTGGTTGGATTCCCAGGCTTGTATACATCCCTGCTGGTATCAGTGATGAGTGCTCAAATACTAGTGTGGAAAAGCCAATAAGGTGCCTGTCTCTCTCCGTCTGCCTTCCTCTTTCCCTCCCTCCTCCCATTGTCCCTCTCTAGCTTGGAATTCTTAGAAAATGGGAAAGACATTTACTAGGGGGGTTTTGCTAGGTTGTATATTTTTCTAGTCCTTGTTTATTTTCTTTCCTATATAAATGAAGAGTGACATCCTATAAATATTCCAACTCCATGTTATTCATACCCTCTTTTTTGGTTTTAGTAATTTTTAAGATAGTAAACGATTTTAAATTTTTCAAATAAAGTTAACACTTTGTATAAATCAGAAACCACATCTAATAGGATGAGCACCCTAATGGCATGCTAATGTGACTAGTTGTATAGGAATTGCCAGAAGCCTGCTGTTTGAGAGCCATAGAACAAAACTAAGATGACAACCCAGATCCAGCATGTGTCTCCACAGTTGTCCCCTCAGAATCCAAAGACGACATTCCAATGATGGCGGTTGTCAGCACGTATGTGTTCTGCCTGGCTAGTGAATACATGGACATCTTATTGATATTACTTGCATTCTTTTTGCATTAACTCATCAAAACTCAATTATCATGAAATTAAAAACAGGAAGCAGTTCTCAGTGTAACAAAAGCATCCAGTGTATTTAACTCTGTGCTGTGTTTCAGGAGACCCACATTGTATCAGTGACAAAGCATTTATTACCCGGTTTATTGTGGTATTACAGAGCGGAGAGCGCTAAATAATCAATCAGTTAATGGTCTGTATGGCAGTTTGAGCACATCACATCCATTGTGCTTATGCTAGTAGAAGGATGAGCTGATAACTCCAGTGTATGTTGCATGTTTATTCAGAGCCTAATGTCTTAAACTGGGGCTGACAAAAATCTGGTGAAAAATGCAGCTTTAGCTTTGGCAGTTTCAAAGGTGCTGAAATGTTTTAAGACAACTTTGAGAGGCTTTGGGTACAAATATCCCCAAGGAAAAGAGCTGTAGTTACTCTTATATTATTTGCAGCTTTAGATTTTAGGATTTAAAAAAATAAAATTGGATCCCTAGTTTTGATTGCATTAGCTCTTTTGTTGTGGTTGTTAAAATATCCCAAATGCTGTGACATGGTTATTTCACCACGTGTTTGTCCCATCACCATGGGTATTGCTCATTATGAAGTATGACACACTCTCTTCCAAACACATTGTGGATGGGCTTAGGTTAATCATATAAAGTAAGCAGGAAGCAACTTGTAGGTGATGTGTTGGTGAGAACATGCTGTCACCACAGGTTTTAAATGAAAGGCAGAAAAAGGATAAAGGACATTAAAAATCTGAACTTTTTGAAAATGATCTTAATTAGATGATAGTAATAAAAAGGAGGATTCTTGTGTGTGTGTGTGTATAAAAATGTTTCTTTGACTCAGGACAGAATTTTTTAAGACTGTTTTGGTGGTCGGGGTGGACTTTTAATTTCTGTTGGTTTATACTCTCTTACTTTCTTTTTCCTAGGTGATAAAAGCACTGATTACGCTAATTTTTACCAGGGTCTGTGGGACTGTACAGGAGCACTTTCTGATGAGTTGTCATTTAAGCGTGGTGATGTGATTTACATTCTTAGCAAGGTAAGAAGTTACCCCAAATGACAACTGTAAAGGGGAAATACGCAGCTCGATTTATATGCATTTGGATTTACAACATGAGGGAAAAATGCCAATTGGAATTCTTCTAGGTCCTAGTTAACAATTGGGAGTTCACAATAATTAATTATTTTGTCAAGTGAAATATAATCAAATTTTAAACACAATCAGATAACAGGATTCAACTTAACAGTGTGTTTACCTATCACTTTAGCCTTTGGCTTCCATCCACCCACTGCCTTCTCCAGAACAATGTGCTTATGTGAAAGTTAACATTGGAAGGTATTAGGTTATTTATTATGTTTTTCTTTCCTCTTCCTTTTTATTCTTCTGTGTGCTTATTCTGATTTTGTCTGCCATTCACTACTGGAAACACTGTGTTTATAGAACAAGTTTTTCATCTTTATGTAAATACATTGGGTGTTCCGACAATTTAAAAGCAATGCTTTTCTATTCAGACAGGTTTAGGTAAATTTTTTTCTTAAGTTTAACATACTATATTTGTAAACATAGTGGCAGAGAACATTGCTGTGAACTCATCTTTAAATGTACAAGAATCTTTGTCTCTGCTTCTAAACTGGATTATTCAGGATCTGTCAGATGTAAAATCAAGGTTATATTTCTGAGCAGTGTGAGGTGTGTGCTCTCTTCATTTTCATTTTTTAATTTCCCATTCTATAGTATAGGGACTTTAAAAAAATCTCTGTCTACTTTGTGAGGCTGTTTTAGAAACAAATGATAAGTGGAAACAATTTAAATATAAGTTGGGAAATGTTAAATAAATCATAAGTCTACGAGTTTAATGTAATTTCTTGATGAGAGAAATATTTGGACTTCTCAGAGAGATAATGTGACATGTTAGATGCAAAGGGAATTTGAAAACCAGGCCACACTGAGTTTTAATACTAGATGACTGGTCCCTATAATCATCATACATACAATCATGGATTGTTAGATCATCTGTTGTTGGTTTTACAGATAAGGGAACTTTGGTCGAGAAAGTGCCAGAGCCAGTACATGAACTTGTGCTTTTTCCTGTTCTCTTTCTTTCCGTCCCTATCTCCCCACTTCATTTAATTTGAAACCATCACAAAGTACCTATAATATACTAGGATCCTTTCTAGCCACCAGGAATACAAAAAGAATAAGATATAAGCATTTGTAGGTTGTGGGAGCAAGAAATATTTAGTAGTAAGTAAATACAGACAGTTGTGTGAACCACTAGTTAAGGTGCACAAAGCTAAGGCTTGTCACCTCTCTCAGTGTTTCCAGAAAGATGCTTTCAGTTCTTAGAAGCTATGGAAAGCCACATGCACATTACAACTCTTGATTAAGCCAGTTATTGAGCATTTAATTGTCCTGCTTTTTTAGTCAGTTATTTAATATAGAAATCAAACAGATTAGTTTTAGTTCCTGTCAAGAAACTTTCTTAGACTCTTCTGAATTTACTTATCTCGCACAATTTCTTTAACTGATTTGGCTGCAATTGTGTCTAAAATTAAAAGGTTGATTACATTCCATTTGAAATTTCAGATTATAGGGGAGCATGCCATATGGCCATTACATTCCTTTTGCAGATAAGAAACTTATAAAGCCGGTGTAGATCTACTCTTAAAACCTTTAGGAATCATGTTATCATTATCCCAAAAGCCTGGACAGAGTACTAACTCCTAGGATAAACAAGCAGAGTTCCCATAGGCTTGCTTTATTTCTACCATTGCCTCAGAAAATCATTTTCTGTTAATGTGAAATTAAAAGTATAACCATACTTTTAATTTTTATACTTCTGGGATGTTGTGTTTATACTTCCAGGATGTTGGGGTCCTTAGTTCCTGTTCTCCCAAATCTGTTTTGTAGTGAGTGTAGTTTTATTTGTGAATCCTGATCAGAGAAGTAGTTAAGGGTGGTCCAGCTCATGGGAAGTGTTTCTTTCCATCTAAAATTTTAAATGCTATCATTTGGGAAAGAGCTGATCAAAAAACCTTGTGCTATCAGATTTATAAGGCTTAAAATTCCACCATCATCATTTCACTGTGGTCTTCTAGAGGTAGGTATTTCAACTGGGGCTCATTTTGGTTTCTGAAAGAAGAGCTGAGAAAGAAGACATTGTCAGCAGCATATTCTCACCATAAATTGAATGATTGAATACCCATAGTCACCCAACTATGGATCTAGTAGAATCAACCAGCTAAATCTTGGTAATGGTGAAAAGATCACATGGCTCTCTCTGCTAAGATTTGAGCATATTCTGAAACATTGATGGGTGTCTGCTCTATTAATAGTCTGGTTGTTTTGGAATTGAGTATATGTTTAGAAAATCCCTAATAAGATTTTATTAGTGTGGCCTTCTAGTTTTATCAAAGTGGAAATATGGGCTATAAGTTAACACCATAAATTCATTTAATATGTAAACTAGAACTACAATTTTAAATGCTTTGATATTATAAATTAAGAACTCAAGCTTTTAGTGGAAGAGGGCAAAAATTGCTCAAAAGGACTTGTTTCTAGATCAAAGTAGGGCCCATGTTATATACTGATAGGTTTTTTTAAAAGTACAATTAGTATAGAAATTGCTAGCATTATTATATGCCTAGAATGTTGCATCCTACTCAGAGTTCTATTTAGATTTCATGGTGATGATGAAATTTTGCCATTTTAATTTATTTTTTTACACCATCTAGTGGCTCAGAATGAGTGGTGCAGGTAATTGCAGCTAATGTGCACAATCAGAATGGTTTCATTAATTCAACTTTAAATCTAGCTATGGGTTATTACTTTCCTATCTGATGTCAATAAAGTATCAGCATTAATCATGAAAAATGTTGTTCATCATTTTGAATTAAATGTAGAAATTATATACATAAGGAAAAATATATTTTAAGAAATCTAACATAATATTTGTGGAGACAGAAAATATGTACTTTGTAAAAAAAAAAAAAAAAAAGTCATGCCAAGACATTTTTAATGAGTAAAACCATTTAAAAGATTTTAAAGAAATGCTGCTTGCTCTTTGTAATGAACTGATTTATAATTTAAGATATTAAATTAACATTAATTTGACTTACCTTCTACAAGTTTGTCAGTGCTCTTTAAAAAAGGCAACACAAAATAGTTTAAGAAAAGGTGCATTCTTTCAATATAAATAAACATTTAGATAAATCAAGAAATAAAATGGCTTGCCCTACAATGAAGAACGTTTTAATTTTGTAAATGTAATGGCAACAAACATTTCACTAGTTTGGGGACTAGGTTGTCTTCCTTAAAAATCACTGTGGAAATACAGTTTTGTTTCAAAATTCATCCTTCTTTTTCTGTTTTGCAAGAAAGTCTTGATAGGGTGTCAGCTGTGCTCAGTCAGCCTGGGGTGATTTATTTATTTTAAGCCTCTTTTGAGAGTTATACAAATCTTAGCCTTGATTTTCAGTGAAAATCAAGTTTCACAATAAAGAAAGAAGGGAAAGCAGACACCCTGCCCCTCCCCCTTTCCTTTTTAACATTTTCCAATTAGCAACTGTCATGTGATCCCTGGCTGAGCTAGCCCCTCCTTCAAAGTGTCTGGCATTTTCTTAGTTTTAACCTTTGAACTTCACTAATAATAAATCTAAATACTGCTTGTCTAAAAAGGTGAGCCAGTAACTTTACTTTCCATTCTTTGCATATAGGATTGCTGCCGGGTTTATTTTTTTTTAATGTGTTAAAATAAATTATTTAATAGTTCAATGGTGATTTAGGAAAAAAACAATTTTTTTTTCTCCTAAGAAGGAAAAATAAGGAGCATGTTTATAGGAATGGATGAAAGTGGAATCTGTGATTTTAATGACAGCTGCATTGTTAGTGAATTAACTCTGCAACCCAGAGCTTGGCTTTAGATTCATTTGGTGGGGTGAGTCATACTGGAGGTAGAAAACCTAATTTTTAAATTTTTTAATTTGTTTTAGGAATCAGGTTGTGTAAAATCATGCTAAATTCTTTTTTAGGAGATTGCACATCAGTTTTATTTTCCCCAAACCATAAACGTAATATTGTAGTTATTGGTATTTTCTTAGAACCAAGTTTATGAGGTTTTATAATTTCAGCAGCAGAATCCATATTATATAGCAGTAGGCATATGCTGTAGCCTGCTTACCTCTTTGGTTATGTTATTCTAGTTTGCCTTTCTGGATTTATACCCACTGACAGTTTATCTTCCGATCTTTGCTTACCGGTAAATTGCTAACTGCATTCTTGTCCTTACTTTTAAAGCAATATCTTATTTTTAGAGACTTAGTAACAGACAAGTCATACTCTAGAAGGAAAGAGGCATGCTACTTCGTCTGATATTAAGAAAAATAATAATAAGAGAATTAAGGATTCTGGAATATTTTACCCAGATGAGGGCATACTTGACTTTAGCTTTGCAGCCTTTTGAGAAATAATAACTCAAAACCAGGAAATGAAGGGTAAGACAGTGGTCACTAATATATAGTGAAAGGCCATTTTTAAGTGTGTATGGGGAATTTCAAGCAGTACTTCCTTTTATATCTAATTGGTTGACTTTTCTAAATGATCAGGGAATTGTGACTGTCATTGACCATTTGCTTTTCATTATGAGAATATAAAGATTTAGTTACTATGGATTTCTTAAAATTATTATTTTTTTGCTTCAAACCTATGAAAGGAGCACAGACAGCACAGTCTTGCTGTCTGATTGGGGATGTAGCTCAGTGGTAGGACACTTGCCTGGCACACACATGGCACTGGGTTCAATCCACAGCACCAAAAGAAAAAAGTCTGCTGAGCTCTACTAGCAGAGGGCATTGTCAAGTTTCTTTTTAGCTAACTTAGTTTTTCCTGTGTGACCATATGACCCAGGGTTCCACAAATAGCATGGCCAACTACTGAAGAGTAACGAGGACATCTCAAAATGGGACATGCATTGTTGACACAAAGCTAGTTCCAAAGTGTTATCATATTTTATAGCCTTTGGGGAAGGAGGAGGAGGATTT